AACAGCGTCACGGGTGAGAGACATAGGCAGTCATGCGCGGGTCACCCTGGGGGGTCTGGGAACGTGATCAGGGATCCTGAGCACAGGCTGTGCAGGGAAAGGGGCCGGGGGTGGGGGAGAGCCGCCTTGAAGGGTCTCGGTGGCTGCACTAAAGAGTGGGGATCTTTGGGGGGGGTCACTAGACGTGAAGCTTTGGGGGCTCATGTCTGTGGCGGCATTGCCCAGCACGACCCTGGTGCCCACAGCCCGGGGATGTCGTGGCTGAGTGAGTGAACAGGTCTGGGGGCCACGGTGGCCTTCATGGCTCACACAGGGGCATGACCATGTGTGATCTTCACTGCATGATCATTGTCGTTGTTTTTAACATTAAAAAAAAAAGTTTATTTATTTTAAGAGCGAGAGTGCACGCAGGGAAGGGGCAGGGAGAGGGGGAAACAGAATCCCAAGCAGGCTCTGAGCCGTCAGCGCAGAGCACATCCTGGGGCTCGATCCCACGAACAGTGAGGCCATGGCCCGAGCCGAGATCGAGAGTCAGGGGCTTAACCAGCTTGTCCCTGCTGCTTTGCAGCTGGCAGGGTGCATACCCCTCTGGCGTGCTTGCAGCTGGGTGGGGCGGGGACACCAGGGCACCGGTGGCCGATGCAGGGGACCACCGGGAGGAGGCAGCCCAGCCCCGCGGCGTCCACTTACCCTGCCCTCCCTCTGCCCAGACATCACGGGCCCCATCATCCTGCAGACGTACCGTGCCATCGCTGACTTCGAGAAGAGCTCGGGCTCCCAGATGGCTCTGGCCACGGGCGACGTGGTGGACGTCGTGGAGAAGAGCGAGAGTGGTCAGCCTCCCCGCCCTCCCGGGACCTTCCTCCCCTTGGTGCCCGCAGCCGTGGCCACAAGCCTCTCGGACGGCCTGGGGCTTCCTCCCCACCTGACGGGCTGTGGCTCCTTCGGGGGCCCTGACTGTCCTCCCCGCTCTGTCCCCGAGCTGAGGCTGCGGGCACCCGTGCACCTCCGGGGCTTATGTCCCCCCCACCCCCCGGGTGGCCGGGTCACGACGTGTGTGAGGCGGATTCTGAGCTCTCACCCTGTGACCTGTGTGTGTGGCTGTGTGTCACTTGGGCATGGAGTGTGCTGAAGGTGACATTTCTGAATCCGAGTGTTGGGTGTCTGTGTGCCTATGTCGGGGCGTCCTTACCACCCTGGGGGAGGGGGGCGGCTGCCGGGCCCGCCCAGACTTCCCGCCTCACATGCCTGGCACAGGCTGGTGGTTCTGCCAAACGAAGACAAAGCGAGGTTGGGTCCCCGCATCCTACTTGGAGCCCCTGGACAGTCCTGATGAGGCAGAGGACCCCGAGCCCAACTATGAAGGTACCACCTGCCCTCCACGACCATAACGATGTGAGGGGAAGGGACCGGGGGGGCCCTGGGATGCCAAGAAGCCGGAAGTGACCGCTGTGGGCTCGGATGGGATTGTGGGCTGGGCAGTGGGGCAGCCAGGGTGGAGACCCTATAGTCCGGTTGGACGGCCCCGGGAGGAGGTGGTGCCCTTGGTCAGGACGGAGACGCGGGAGGTAGAGTAGAGGTGAAGTGCTGAGGTCGGCCAGCCTGAGACAGGTGGTGGGGCCAGCCGGGGACCGGGCCGGCGGGAAGCCGACCGGTGAGGGTCAGGAAGGCGTACTGCCTGGAAGCGGGGGCATCCTCGCTGACTGGAAGCCCCTGGGCCGGATGGGGCTCAGGGGGAGGTTGAGACGAGTTCGAGTTGGTTGCCCGTATTTTAAAAGGGAGAGATCTCACAACGGTGTGTGGATTTGTGGCTTCTCTGGAAAAGCGGGGAAAGGTCTATACACTGGGTAGGCGGCTCCGGATGTGGGCAGTTGGCAGACGTCAAGGGGCTCAGGTGACAGGTGGATGGGCGCTCCACCCTTGCACCTCCTGCCGGGCCCCTCCTGGGATCCGGGCGCCTGGGCCCCTGCTGTGGGTGGTGGGAGGTGGGAGCCCCTGGGTGTAGTGGCGTCCCCTCACCGGTGGGGGGCAGCAGTTTGCAGAGGGAGACCACAAGGAGCAGGTGCGGAGGAGGGAGGGCGTGGCGGGGGCGGGGGCTGCAGGAAGCCTCAGGCCCAGGGAGGAGAGGAAGGGAGGCAAGCCGGAGGTGGGGGGGCAGCCAGACCCTCACACCACGTCCCTGCTCCCGCGGACGACCAGGTGAGCCCTACGTCACCATCAAAGCCTACACTGCCCAGATGGAGGACGAAGTGTCCCTGCAGGAGGGCGAAACCATCGATGTCATTCACAAGCTGCTGGATGGCTGGTGGGTCGTCAGGTAGGAGAGCACCCCTCCCTCCCCACTGCGCCCACCCTGAGTGCCAGCCCTGGCCTGGGGCAGGGCCCATTTGGGGTCCGTGCCCATTGGGGTGCGTGACTCCGGGTAAGCCACTGTCTGTCTCTGGACTCAGTCTCCATTTTGGTGGTAGACCAGTGATAATCCCACCCCGCCCGTCTTTCGGGGTTCAGTGTCCTTGTCTGAGTGGGGACCTTTTTTTCCTTTGAGACTTGGGGTCACCTCGCCATCTATTAGTCCTTCTATAAACAACACAATTGATTGTGTTCATTATTGTATTTGCGAACTGGTAGAGGCAGGCCCTGTCATCCCTTTTCCTTTTAAATCTTTTGTTGCAATTGATTCTTTTTTTAAGTTTATTTGTTTTGAGAGAGAGAGCATGCGCGCATGCAAGTGGGGGAGGGGCAGAGAGAGAGGAGAGAGAATCCCAATTAGGCAGTGCAGAGCCTCTTCGGGGGCTCGATCCCACAAGCCATGAAATCATGACCTGAGCCCAAATCAAGAGTCGGACGATCAGCTGACCGAGCCACCCAGGTGCCCCTGTTGCAAATGATTCTTATCTGTTCATTCCTCCTGGGGAAAAGGAGAACCCTGAGGACTTAGCCGTTTTCTTGGGCCCACTGGGGCTCCCCAGATCCATATCCACCTTTTCAGAGCCCTGAGTCTGTCCAGGGCCCCAGTGAGCCTGTGGCCACGGTACCCACCATCAGCATGGCCCTGGGCTGGAGGTTTCGAGGCAGGGTTTCTCAATCTTTCTGACCACCACTCAGTTTAACCGCCCCCCCCCCCCCCCCCCCCCCCCCCCGCCACGCACCTCTGAGAATCTGCCTGTGATTCTCCCACCAGCCAAGAGGAATCAGTTTTGCAGAGTGAGGTTTGTATTATGCAAAGTGGGGTTTTTTTTTCTTGCTCTCACATTATAGTGGTGAGAACGGAAAGAAACATCTTTTCAACAAGTGGTGCTGGAACATTCGGGCGTCCACATGGAGAAAAGGCGTCTAGGCCCCTACCTCAGCAGCACTCACATGTATTCGGGATGGGTCGTGGGTTTCGCCAAGCACAAAAACCTTTTGGAAAGAAAGCATAGGGGAACCTGGTGCCCTGGAGATGGGCAGAAAGTTTCTTAGATACAGAAAGCAGTGACCATAAAGGAAAAATCTGACAAACAGGCTGTTGCAGATGCTTCATTGCAAACACATGTCCCTGGGGGGCAAGGTGGACCTGCTGACTTCCTCCCACTACCACCATCACAGCGGTGGGGGCCTGTGTTGCACAGATGAGGAAACTGAGGCCCAGAGGGTTAGGGTCTGGTGTCCGCGGGCACCGGGGTGTCTGCAACCTCCCAGCTGCCTTAACCCGGAGTGTTTAGAGGGATCCCTGAGCCCCCCACGTCTGAGGCCCCTACTCCCTGCCGTGACTGCCTGGGGTTCAAGGGCTGCCTCTGTTGCAGGAAAGGCGACGTCACAGGCTACTTTCCATCCATGTACCTACAGAAGTCTGGGCAGGATGCAGCCCAGGCCCAACGCCAGATCAAGAGCCGAGGGGCGCCGCCCCGGAGGTGAGCGAGCATCCCAGGATTGGGCGGGGCCGAGGAGGGGGGTGTACCACGGGGCCCCCTGTCTGTCCAGGCCCTGCATTGCCAGCGCTGGGGAGGGAGGCCGGGGTGGAGGCAGGGACAGGCTGGGGAGGCCGCACCCTCACTGAGTCGAGGATGGACGTGCCCTCCTTCACCGTGGGGTTGGCACGGGGGCGGTGGGAAAGCAGGGGTGTGAGATGGAGGTGAAGGCGTAGGCGTCGATGCCTAGAGTCCTTGGGGACCGCCCATGAGGGGGGCGGCAGTGCAGAGGTCTTCCTGGGGAGGACACGGACTGAAGGCCGCCAAAGGGCGTGGGAAATAGACCTGGGCTCTGCAACCCGACTGGAGTCCGCATCGGCGCTGGGTAGCCGCAATCATGCCCTGCCCAGCCGTGTGGGGTCCCGGCCAGTCGTTGGACTCCAGGAGCGGTCGTGCGAGTCCCCGCAGGCAGGGACGAGTAGGAGGGGGAGGGACGCACAGGAATTGAGCAACGTCCCCATCCCTCTGGGCCCAGGTCGTCCATCCGCAACGCACACAGCATCCACCAGCGGTCGCGGAAGCGCCTCAGCCAGGACACCTATCGGCGCAACAGTGTCCGTTTTTTGCAGCAGCGCCGCCGCCCGGCGCGGCCCGAGCCGCAGCGCTCAGGTAGCCCTGGACTTAGTGCCTGCCGCGGCCGCGGGTGGGGTGGGGCGTGCCCGGGGCGGGGCCTGGAGGCGGGGCGAGGCCTGGAGGCGGGGCCAGGCGCGGCCAGGGCCGCAGAGCGCTGGGAGCCGGCGGCTTGAGTGTCTGCTGCTGCCTGGTGGTGGGCGGGGCCCGGGGCGGGG